TGAAAGGCAGCAGCGGGGGGGAGGGGAGGGAAGCAGCAGGGAGTTAGGGGAGGCTGCTGCAAAGCAGCCTCTGCCCACAGCTAGCCCTGGCTGCTGCAAACAGGGGCTGCTGGACTCAGAGAGAGCCAGGACTGAGCAGGTCCAGCTCGCGCTGGTCCGGGACACTGTGCCTCTGCATTTTAAATGTAATAAAAGCCTGGCTCGAGTCGGCTGCTGGAGCTACCCCCACTGTAGCTCTGCATAGTGGTCCTTATGGACTAGTCATGTAGTTAATACAAAATGTATCGACCTCACAATTAGTTAGATAACTGAAATTTAACATCCTCACTGGGAACCAATCCCTGGTTGGATCTAAAAAGAGGGACTGCCCTGCATGCAATTTGACCTTCTCATCCCAGGACTTACACTTACAGTATATCAGTTTCCACATCACCAACCACTGGAGAGCTGACCTACAAGGCCCTGGTCATCTGCTGCCACTCAGCAGTGTAAGCTTTTGACAAAGTAGATTTTACCCATTAAAGCTTATGCCCAAATAAATCTGTAAGTCTTTAAGTGCCACAGAACTCCTCATTGTTTCAGCACCAGGGTGACTCTGGAGTCAGCAGAGGACATTGGTGTTGGAATAAGTGGCCACAGCAGTAATAAAGCCCTGGTATCATCCCTTTCTCTTGGCCTGATACGTGACCTGTGTTCTCCTTTGGAGAATGTGGCCACCCGGCATGGGATTTGGAATCTAACACCTTGCAAGCCTGAGATGCTCCTCAATGAGAGACTGCTCTCCAAGCAAAGGGGAATACCATGTGGCTGACTTTTGGCTAGGCTGACAAGGAATCACACAGCAGAAGCTCCACTAACTTGTCCTGGGTACAACTGGCCACAAACTGGAACACTTCTTCCTGGGACATTCAGAAATATAAATACATACAGGGCGTCTTCGCTGTAAGTCGCCCTGGTATACATCCGTTCCACACTAAAGTCATTGACACTTGTAGGAACAGATGCACTACAAGTCCTCCCGTTCCCCACCTCTTAAGTTGCACACAAAAAAATGCAAATGGAAGTCAGCCATGGGAAAAAGATTCCCCATTTTAAGTTGTTCTGCTATAAGTCAAAGTTTCTTGGAACGTATCTTGGACTTATAGCGAGGACAGCCTGTACATACATACACATATACATACATATAGGAACAAAACAAAATTTCAAAATTACTTGTGAATGCCAATGTTTTGTTTTGCTGAAGAATCAGTGGAGCAGTTCATCTGGTGAACTGTCCCAAACTAGGGACGCTGGGAACCAGGAACACTGGAGCCCTACAAGCCCAGGCTGATCAACAGCCGCAAACCTAGAAACTGGGCTCCCTGATTTCCCATCGGCCTGCCAGATGGGGTGCTGAAGAACTGGGTGTGGTAAGCCAGCAGGAACCCAGGCAGGTTTTGAAACCTGGCTGCTGGGTAGGTCTGTGTTAGAAACCTGCATGGCTTCTGTCAGCATTTAGTCGAAAATCAATATGCGCTTACAAAACATTGCAATTTAGACAAATCAACCTTTTCCAACTGAAAAAAATATTCCATTGGAATACTTCCAACCAGCTCTAGCAGTGAGACTACCTGCAGAGTCAGGTACTACTTTGCATGAGGAAGGGTGGCCCTTTGTGTTTTTATTTGCGTACTGGCTTCTTGTGTAAGTTTCCCATGTACTAGACACGTAGCAACAACTGAAAAAAAGCCCCCAGAAAGGGTGGTCATAAATCCCTACACCAGGGTCTCCACTGCAATCAACTCTCCTATACCACAGTCATTCATCAGTGGTATTGAGAAGGTAACGTTTTCTTTGGTACGGTCTTTACTGTTTTAGGCAACCACATGCACTCCTGGCAAGGTCCCCAGACAAGCCTCGCTGGCAATATGCAGTATATGTCTTGCTCCGAAACGACTGTCTGAGAAAGCACTTTGTAAAACTGGCCAGGCTAAAGACACACGCTGGCTGGGGAGCAGGAACAACGGATGCCTGATAGATCACATCCTACAAAACCAACTGCCCATAAGACCAGAGCTGTTCTGCAAAAAGAGGCCTTATTGGCCTGATTTCCTTACTCCTAACAGTTCCTTAACTGGGTAACTTCCTTACCTTTCATTATTCAGGATCATCCTTGGTGGATCCAGGTTGGGGTTCTCCATGGACTCCATCTGAGGACAGCGTAGGAAGTAGTAAAGGGTATGGAGGGCATCAGGGGACCAGGTGATGGGCTGCTGTTGCCTGGTTTGACGGCTAGGGCTCATGCCAGGACGGAAGGTATTATTCAAGCATTGCATGTGGTGCATTGCTCGTGATACCAAGTCACCTGCACAAACGGGAACAGGAGAATCATTTCTGAATGTTTGTCTAGACTCATATGCTCATTTTCTCAACTAAATAAATTCACTGGCAACCAAGAGACTCTTTCTTTGTGCATAATTATTATTTACCCACCAAGTCAATAGGCGGGTGCCAGAGCTGCTATTTTATAGTTAAAAGCAATGGAAATTTAATTTTGTTTTAAATTCCCAGATATTAGACAGACAATAGTGGAATTAAACTACTATTTACATTGTTAAACTTGTCGGTAATCAGGAGATCAAAGTAATGGCTTTGCTATTTTAATGCGCTTTCTTTTTTATCTTTTCTTGTGAAGCCATATCTCTGGGCTTCTTGCCTGCCTGTGGCTAATAAAGAACACTGTGTATGATCCTAGATAAGTACTGGGTTGGGAAAACAATTTATGAAAGGGGACAGAGGTAGCATGCCATATCCCTTGCTTGTTTTGGTTCTCCCTCTGCACTGTATGTTATATGGCTAGATCAGTTCCCTGCATTGGAGCCATCTAATCCCATATAACTAGCCTTCAAGTCCCAACTGTCTGCCCAAGTTCTTATGACAGAGAAAGACGCTGTCCTAATTGAAAGTCCCTTCTTGTTGCTGTCTGCTTCTCTCATCTTCCTCACTGCTCTCTAGCTGCAGACTGCTTCCAAAGAGTGACAAAAGCCTCTTCCTTATTAAATATCAGAGGGGTAGCCGTGTTAGTCTGAATCTGCAAAAGCGACGAGGAGTCCTGTGGCACCTTATAGACTAACTGAAGTGTAGGAGCATAAGCTTTCGTGGGCAAAGACCCACTTCGTCAGATGCATGTAGTGGAAATTTCCAGAGGCAGGAATAAATATGCAGGCCAGGATCAGGCTGGAGATGACCAGGTGGATCCAATCAAGGAGGATGAGGCCCATTAAAGGGGCAGTCCTTATATTTCTGTCACTCTGATTTTCACAGACATGTTGGAAGTCTCTCCCTGATCCTCATAAAGGTCTCAACCCATGGCGAAAGCATCCAGTGCCCCCTGAGCTCTTCAGTGCTCAGGGATTCTGAACCCTTGTCAACCTGTAAATGTTATAATTTACAGTAGTGGAATTCCCACAGCAGTAGTCTGAATCAGTACTATAGGATTCTCTACATGCACAGGATCTATTTTTCCCTGGGACTCTCCTGTTGCTTTATGTTCTATAGTCCACTAAAATCCTCACAGGAAATGTTCCCCCATTGTGCTCTATGGGCACAATGCTGGGAAAGTATGGAATTTAAATAGCCACTAACATCAAGTTAGGCCTGAAATGGCACCTTGAGCGTAGCCACACAAACTGTGAATTCACACATCCCTCCCCACACCCCTTCCCCCCCGACTCCAAGTGCAGTTTTTAGGATTATGCTAAATCCACTTAGATCTCACAAAAAGACCGAGTTTACTAAAGTTTACTAAGATGCCTCCAGCTGAATGCTTTAAAGATGAATGCTTTAAAGATTGATATTACTCAGGCCAGGGAAAACATAGGACTACTGTATGTCCAAGCATTATGCAATTATTACTGAGTCAGATCAATGGGGTGTTAAAACCTCATTTTGCAATGTGATGCTGAGCCACTCATTCATTGCATAGTAAATTCATTTTACAAGTAGACTCCAGAGAGGGGAAAAAACCCCTAATGTCTCTGCCTTTCCATTTCTGCAGCTCCTGAATCTCTCTCTAAGATCCAGAAATTCTTACAAGAATATGCATCTTCTAGCATCAGTGCTAACCTGGAATCCTGCATGAACAGAAAAGAAATGCATCTGGAATTCAAATTTTCAGCAAAGAATAACACCCCTCCCCCCCACGCCACCCTACTTCTCTGGAAACCTCTAAACCATATTTTAAAATCAGTAGGTGACTGGCTATATCAGGAGATCCATTCACTAGTAATGACTCAGCTGGCCAAGGCAGGGACTAGGAAAGAAGGAAAGGAAGCCACATTCAATCATGGACCCATGCTACAAATGCTCCCTTGTGTTCCAGCATAAATAGAGGTGTGTTGAAAGAATCTGAAAAACTTCAAATTAAGGCGAGTTGCAAAATAAATAGTGAAACCACAAGCTCTGGGCCTGGCTGGGCCCTGAAATCCATTAGCATTCAGATGATGGGGACTGGAACAATGGTGCCAGCAATGGAACCCAGGTCAGGAAAACAAAGTTTAGGCCCAAAATCTGGGATTTGTCAACAAAAGAAAAGATTTACCAAATTTCATATATCAGACACAGTCTCAGAATTTCTCCCCTCCCCCTTTTTCTATTTTCAATTAAAAACCAAAAATAAGCTTTCCTCTGATGTTATCTGCCACCCAAACATTACTAGTGCATGACTATTAGAAGGTGAATTAGAAGGGATACCGGGAAAGTAGGTAGATGGGGTGTCCCCAGCTGATCCTGGGCTCCACACATCGACTATTCGATTATTCAATTACCCAATACTTAACATCCTTAGCGCTCATGGTAGAGAGTTAGAGTGTGTTGGGAAGCTCAGGAATAAGGGCAGCGGGTTGGAGATGGCAGCCCAGGGAAGGGGTGATATGGGGTGAAGGAATCAGGGCAGGGGAGTTTGTGGGGTTCAGAAATAAGGGCAGGGGATTGGGGATGGACAGCTCAGGGCAGGGAGGATGTGGGGGATGCAGGAATTTGAGCAGGGAGCTGAGGGTGTGGGGGTGCTCAAAAGTAGGGAGGTTTGGGTGGCTCAGAAATAAGGGCAGGGAGTAGAGGATGGGGAGGTTCAGGGCAGGGGGCTGGAGAGGGTAGGAGTCAGTGCGAGGAGGCACGTTCACCATTTAGGGAGGGTGGTGGCAGAGGGGCTGCAGCCACATATACTGGGTCACCGCTGCTCTTCCTCTGACAATCAGGGAGCGAAGGGAAGTGCACAGCTCCTGTGGAGTCTCCTCTGCCCCTCACTACACCGCAGCCCCCCTGGGCATCAAGAAACGAAAGGAAGGCACGCTAGCTGTGCACTCTCCACTCACTCCCTGATAGTCAGGGAAAGGGAAGAGCAGCAGAATGCTGGGTACACGTGGCTGCAAACACTCCCCTCCCTTCTCCCCAAAAGGGCACACAGGAGGGCAGAGTATAGGGATTGGGGCAGCCCCAGCTTTGGGGGAGGCACCTGTTGCTTAGCAAGGCAGTCCACAGGAGAGCCCCAAGAGCCCAGCTGGGAACAGCTGCAGCCGAGTGCCCCAGCCCACCAGCTTCTATTTGTCCTAATGGCATAATCTGATTTCCACAAGCAGCATCCTGAAACAATAAAATTGTATATAACATGGGACCAATGCAGTCCATGCTGAAGCCAATGACAAAACTGCCACTGACTTCAATAGCCGCAGGCCTCATAGCTTGTTTAAACAAATGATCAGTTACAGCTGAAACTCACTTAGTTCTGAGATGCTTCCAACACAAGTCGCCAAGAGAGACTGTTCCAAAGTTCGGAGCTCCAGCTGGGCATAAGCATCAGCCCGTCCATCACTGCTTATGGAGCCATCATTGTAAGGGCTGAAGTAGGCAGGCAGAGACAGCACACCTGGGGAGAGCAGAGAACCTGTTACAAATGAAATCACCGGGGTAGAGGAACAGTCCTCCACCCTAGCAGGGATGGATCTACTGAAAGAACAGTCTTCTGTTTGTAGTGGTGACTGGGGAGCACAGTGCATGCTGCTCACTCAGCCACGGTGCTCAGAAGACCTTTGGAAGCAATTAGTGCTGTTGATTGGCAGAAGCAGAGCAGCTGGGCTCTGGGAAGCAAATGCGGATTGATTGCAGCCTGTAAACGCTGGAAACAAAGAGTTTGTAAAATTATTTTACTGTAAAATTACAACAAAAGCTTTGGGGAGTCTAAAGGAGCCTTTAAAGATTATCTACTCAGTAGAACAAAATGAAACAAAAAACCCCACAGCAGCAATTCTCAGAGCTTAGATCAATGGACTCTAGCTTGCGTCACAGCCAAATGTAGTAGTGTAGACATTTGGGCTATGTCTATACTGCAGGATTTTTGCGCAAAAACCTGTGGAGCGTCCATACCTCAAGTGCACTTTTGTGCAAGTAAATCAACAGTAAAACGACTGAACAGAGCGCTTTTTGCAGTGTAGGTAAGCCTTCTTCTACGAGGCATAACTCCTTTTTGTGCTACAGTTCTTGCGCAAAAAGGCACGTGTGGATGCTCCACAGGGGTTTCTGGCACAAATAGAGCCTATCCAAAAAAGCACAGGCGCTCTGATGACCATTCTGCGAATGGCTATCAGAACTTTCTTGCACAAGCGCGTCCATGCAGTGTGGATGCTCTCTTGCGCAAAAGCGATGCGCTTTGAGGTATGAACGTGCTTTTGAGCAAGGTGCTTTTGAGTAAGAACTCTTCCGCAAAAGACTTCTTGCGCAAAAACCCTGCAGTGTAGGCGTAGCCTTGGAATTGGGCTCCAAAGCCCTCCCTCCTTGGTGGGTTTCAGAGTTCAGGCTCTCGGCTGAGTGTCTGCCGTGCTAATCGTAGCCCCTCCAGCGCAAGCCCAAGTCAGTTGGCCCAGGCTCACTGCCCTGGTCATTTATTTATTTGGCTGTGTAGACATACCCTAAAACAGTATATGCCAAAATGTGGGTGAGTGCCTACAGGGTGATCTTACAGAGGTGTCGTCAGATTGCTGGATGCAACTACCTGATTTTTAGGATTGTTGAGCATAACAGCCAAGTCCAGCTGAGGTGAATGGAAACTGAAGATTTTCATCTCATCTCCTTTGGGCATCTGACAGCAGGCAGTTTTGAATGCACACATTTATATTTTTTACGTGAGAGAGAATTTGGGCATATAAGATTAATTTTGGGAGGTTGGAAACTGATTTTGAAAAAAAAACCTGGCCCATAAAAGCATTTATTTGCATTTCTACAAATGACCTAAATAAAGGAAAACCTCTCTCTCTGTCTGTCTCTCTCTCTGTGTGTTTGCTAGGAATGTTTCTAAAAACATTTCACTTTCTTTACAAGAGCACTGATGTATGTAAAACAACTAGTTGGGTCAATAACGTAGTGATGATCAGAACACACAAACTCCTTTATCACTTCACAATTTTTCCTTGGTGTACAACAAAACAGAGCCAAACTGGGTGAGAGTTGGTAGGACTGGACACGAAGGGGATGGGTACTGTTTACAGACTGCCATAATGTCAGCTGGCATTGAGCGAGCTCACTCAGGCAGGTCAGTCACTGCACTGGAATCCAGATGTTCAGCAGCTGCTATAATTCTACTCCTTGGATCCATCACACAATTCCACCAATAACAATGAGGAGCCCTGTGGTGCCCTAAAGATTAAGAAATTAATCTGTTGGTCTTTAAGGTGCCACAGGGTTCCTCATTGTTTTTACCGACGCAGGCTAATACGGCTATCCTTCTGGAACTTCATCAATGTCTCTCATCCCGGACCTGCTGAATTCCTTGCTATTCCGGACCTGGGACCCCACATACTTCTCTGCCAATTTACCTTAATCTTGATCTGTGGCACCCTAAGCTATGCAGTCTTTTGTCCTGACCCATCTCTGCTAATGCTTTTCAGTCCTGACATGCAACACTCTTACTGTTCCAGTCCTAGGTGTGGAGAGTATGTCATTCTAAATCTGTAGCCACTTCCTAGGTCAGTCCCATGCCTCCCCACTAAGCAGGTAATTCCCAATTAACCTGCACCATGTTAGGAGATCTTTGTTGTTTTGTCTTGATATTTTCGTTTGAGATCTTTATGCAGAATTGATCTCTTCCTCCCCCTCCCATTCAGCAGGGTACATCCTCTTCCACATCCTGCTCAGTGGCACAGCCAGTGCTTGCATCAAGAACTTCCTGGCCATTCTGAGGATAAGGGAATGATTTATCCTGCTGTGTTTCTGCACTGTACATCACTGTTCGCTAATGCAGAAAACCCTGCCAATGGACTCTAATCTGAATAATTAGGAAGCTCAAGTTCTAAGAATTAATAGAAACAACATATGCAAACTGGGAGTACTCTCTCACTACACCGCAGCCCCCCTATACAGCATGAGTCCACTTCCTTTTTCTATATTAATCCTATGAAAGGACATTTTAAGGCATATGGATTGAATTTACAGCAGTGGGAAAAGGAAAATGGGCTGATTTGTTAAAAGTTTCAAATGGAGCACATAACTCTATGAAGGTGGAAACAGAAACTGGCAGTTACATTAATAAAACAGGCAGAGCAGAAAAAGCTTTTGGTGCAGATCCCCCTTTCCCCCCCTCCCACAACGGTTTCAACTGAAAGTTGGTTGATTTTAATTATAAATAAAGACTTTGTAAAATGATTGAAGCTGGGCAGGAAAATCAAGCACATTTTCCTCAGCTTTTCAGGTTATGGCTTGGCAGTTGTCATGGACAGATGGAACTAAAAATGATTAATTCACTAGGGAAAGTCCCTCATATCTGCCCGCAAAGGATGGTAGTATTATAGGGCAAAATATTTAGGGTCTAATTCTTTCACTTGCTGGGAGAGGGGTATGCTTGTTAAGTGGGAGATGAGAATGGAATTAAGACCCTGAGGCTTATCCACAGTCTACTGATATCTGTGCGGGTAATCCATTGATATAAATGAGTTTGCGATCAGGCCCTTAATACACAGCAATAGCACTTATAATGTATGTTTCCTGTTAATTTAGCAGTGTGTTTGTTTTTCCACCACTGGAGGGTACCGAGTGCCTGGCAGAACCGCGAGAATCATCCCAATTTCCCCTTTGATAGCCTCCACTTTCTGCAAGGTACCACAGCATAAAAGCCATCCCTCTGAAAGAGGGCTAGAGAGCTTCCTATGTAGCTCATCAGCACCCTTCCTTAACTGGTCAGAGTAACACATCTGTTAGTCTCCAAGGTCCCATAGGACTCCTTCTTGTTTGGCCAGAGTAACAGATTCCATTCCCTCAGGCAGCAACAGGTTTGCTAGCATCTGAAATACTTTTGGCCTGGGTGATGGAAGCAAAAGGCCAGAAGCCAACTTTAACACTTGCAGTAAACAACTGCAGTTCCATTGACATGAATCTCCTCTAGCTGTTAGCCATATAGGCCTGTGGGACATACGTGAGCAATTCTGAATCTCCCCATTAGAGAGCAGTGCACACCTGTACCCTTCTTTCATAAGGGTCTTATTTTTCTCAATACTGTACACTCACTGCATTCTTCTTTGGAGCTGAATGGGTCCTGTATTGGTAAGACAGAGAACTTTTGCTCATGACTTTAAAGGAGACTAACAAGAGTTAGTGACTGGGTGATAAGAAAGCAACATTCACCACAGTTGATTTACATACAGCCTACTTTACTGAGCTATTCTGATGCTACTTCGATAGTTCCCTTCACTTCATGGTGGGTAAAGAAGTACTGTTAGTTCCACTTTGCAGATGAGGAACTGAGCCCTACATTGATATGTAGCCACACTGAGTCCCATTGGGGTTGGACTCTTGTAACTGGGAGCCAAATCTGATCCTGTATCTTTTAACCTACAAGAGTCATGGTTTTCATGATGGGTCGAGCCAACTGAACCACAACACGCTATTCTGACTGCAGACATCAGAAATGTTCCATAGCACAGATAACACAGTCTCACCCAGAAATGGAATAATTTTCTGAAATGGTATTAATTTGCCAAAAAGTAGAAACTTGGCCAGATGCATCCCGTTACTTCTCAGAGATAGCTAAATATTGTATTACACACTCTGAGATGGAGCTGCTGATGGTGATTCTGACATCACATACTTTTACCATGAATGGGTCAAATTGTGACCATGTTATTTACCCTACTTTTGCGTCGTGATTTTGTAAGGGCAGATGTGGAGCATATTCTAAGTGGTTAGAAAAGGCGTTTAGAGTGGGTCTGCCACTGAATGACTGACCAACCTTAAGGAATTTACATTGTCTCTCTGTGCCTCAGTTTTTCATCTATAAAATGGGGCTAATTATGTTTATAAAGGTTAGAGTAGTGCTATAACTCTTAATTGATGTTAGTAAAAATGTTTTAAGACGTGCAGATAAAAGTTACTTTGCATTTTATAGTAAGTGCAAATTGTTCTTACTGAATTTGTAGGGCCTATTTATAAATTTAGATTTGGCTTTATATATTTTTATTTATGGTTATATTGTTTTTATCAAAGCTAACAAAATTAGCAAAATAACTCAATTTTGTAATTTGTTTCTGAACAAATATATATGAAATCTGGAAATAAAACTACAGCTGATATGAATTTCAAATGTATATTTTCCTCAAGAAACAACAACCCAAAACAATCTTTAATTACTACACTGCAATGATCCACCAACAGCAAAGTTTTTTGTTTTTTGAAAGAGAGAGTGTACATACACAGAGGTGAAGTCTTTCCACTGATTTCAGTGTAGGGTGGATTAGGCACTAAAAACACAACAATTGAAGCAGCAGCCCTTTCCGAGACTACTCGGAGGCTGCACTATGTATAGCAACTCAAGTGAAAGCATCTGTACAGTTCTGTGATCAAGGCAAAGCTTAACAACAGTAATTAGCTTCTGATATTTCCCTA